GCCTGCCACAACGCCCGGCTATTTTTTTGCTGCAGCGTGTCCAGGGCTGGGTTTGAACTGCCGCCCTTGGTGTATGGGGTCGGCGCCCTACTCACTGAGCCATAGGTGCCGCCCACAAGGCAGCTTTCTATAGTGGCACACACCTGTCACACAGAATGCCGAGCACTGAGCAAGCCAACATTATTGATTTTTAATAAGGAGGACAATGCCTCACTTTTATTAAGGTGTCAACTTGGGAGGAAGGTCCTAGCATCATCCTCTTCTTATCGGTGTGGGGAGTGAGACTTGAAGTAAATGATGCCCAGTGTCTCAGTCATAACCTCTACAGAAGTAGAACAGAGGAAGCTTCCTATGGACAGACCCGGGCTCTAGACGATTTGTTCCTGCCATTGAAGTCAGCTGAGAGGGATGTGGGTTAAAGGCATTGTGAAATTAGTGCCAGTTCCCTCGTCACGGGGTGACAGAAAGGGCCGCAGGTGCAGAGGTGGTGAGCCAGCCTCAGGGGTGTTTTCTATGGTGCCCTCTGCAGCCTTTATAAAGACAATCAGGCCTGTGCCCTCAGCGGGGCGCCATTGCACCGTCCTCACCAGGCCCTTCAGTCTCCTCTCTGCTCAGGCTTATGTGGCCTGCTGGCTCCTGAGCTCATTTCAAGCTTGAAACCCTCTGGTTTGGGGCAATATCTGGAGACCCGGAGCCCTCCATAGATCAAAAGCCCTTTACACCTGCGATCTCTGGGTTCCATTCTTGCCAATGAGAATACAGTAGGTGGTCCCTGGGAGACTTGGGAAATGGGTGGAGTTCGAGTGGCTTCTCCCAGGTGAGGCTGGTGATGGTAACGTGGGGATGAACATGGCCCTGGGAAGCTGATGGGTCACAGCAGGGCTGCAGTTGGCCCAGCACTGGGCTGTGTCCTCTGCTCCCTCTGCAGGCCCCGGCTTGGCCTTCATTGCCTACCCCCGGGCTGTGGTGATGCTGCCCTTCTCCCCTCTCTGGGCCTGCTGCTTCTTCCTCATGGTCGTCCTCCTGGGACTAGACAGCCAGGTATTGAGGGGCGGCCACTCAGGGGCTAGGAGAGGAGTGGGGGTGGGCTGAGGGGGCAGCAGTGGGCTTGAGGTTGAGCTTTGTGCCCCAAGGGGCCTTAGAATAGATGGGGACTGGGCAGACACCAGAAGTGGATGCCCTGGCAAGGACCCAGAGGAGCTTGAACAGTCCAGACCTAATCACTGGATGACAGCAGCTCTGGGGACTTGAGACAAGCAGACCTGGTGGCCCTGGGAGTAGGAAGCCAGAGCTAGTTGACAGGGCTTGTTTGGGGAGCCCTCTTCCCCTACAATTCTTTGCCCTGTCATCAGTTTGTGTGTGTAGAAAGCCTGGTGACAGCACTGGTGGACATG